TGCTGCATATATATATTCAACGTAAGGGTTGTGGGGGATCATCAGTTTTTTTTTTTTTATCTCTTCATTAAAAAGTCAATTTGCACGTGTTTGTCATTGTTCATCATCACAAAATAAATATACTAGTTTACATTGAATCATAATTATACTACACATAATTGTGATTGTTCTTCGTCGTATCTCCTAAGTGATTTCGTGATACCCGGGTTGTAGTTTAAGGGTCGAAATATTACTTTTGGGAAAGTGATTTCGTTCACGCCTCAAAGGTTATTATTGTTTAATTCCGATTTCTTCTTTGTGTCCCTTGTATTTCTAGTATTATCCCCAACAGTTTTTAACATAGCAAAAATGTTTTTATATTAACAATCAATTACCATATTAATTCTAGATGTTTTATTGCCAATAACAAATCCCTCAAAGTAGCACACAACTTAAAATCCACCCCCCCCCCCAAAAAAAAAAAAAAAAAAAAAAAAAAAAAAAAAAAAAACAGACAAATAATAACAATAACAACCCATCAACAAATCAAAATTGCGTCAAAAAAAAATTAAAAAATAAAAATTATCACTAATTCGTCAGCTAAACAATTTTCCAAAAATTCAATCAGTTAATCAATAATTTATTCCTGCATTTAGATAGAACAGTGTGATTTTCAAACAAAAATAAAATCATATTATAAAATACCAAACAATGAATTAATTCAAATTCCAGCAGAATTCAACAGAGTAAAATAACAAATAATCATTAAAATCAAACTTGCTGAATAAATAAGAAATTAACAACATGATCAATAATAAAAGAGAGAAAATTGCCTTGGAATTAATGATAAGAGAAGGATGACGAGATGGTTCATTGGAGTAATCGGACGGCGCGTGAAGCCCCGGCATTTTGCGCGACTCAATTACTCTTCCGACTGGTGTTTCTGGGATGAGATTGAGAGAAAATTATTCTTTTTTGGTTTTTTTTTTTTTTTTTTTTTGGAATTTGGTAATATCTAGTGGGCCTGAGTTGCCTGACGGCCTGTCAACTTTGCTTGGGCCAAAAAGTTGGGGTCAAGAAGATTTGATCCTAACCTTTTGCTAAAAAAAAAACAATATTTAATCACTATTCCTATGTCATTAAATTTTTCCTTTTTTTTGAAGAATCGTATGTCATTAATTTTTTATATGCAATTATTACACATCATATTATTTACAAATTTATGATCAACAACTCAAAAATACTTAAGGGGGTTGCGCCCTTGTCCGCCGAAACAAAGATCCTTCCCTGGCAAGGATCAATGATATATACTTGTATGCACTTTGAGAGAGGGGTACATCATTTAGTTAAAGCTTTAGTCCTGTTATAGGAAATCATGAGATCGATTCTCTTCACCCGTTCTGCTCTCATTAACACCAAATAAAAAAAAATAAAAAAAAAATAAAGTATTGTCTTATTTGTTCTTAACGTTTTTTTCTTAATTGATTTCACTCTATAAAAGTTTTTCAATCCCCCTTTATTGTTTTGTTTATATTTTCTTCCTCCATTTTGTTTTAGTTTAACATATTTTCTTATTTGATCACCTTTGTTAAATTTTATATTGGACAAAATATAGTCATATAAAATCTTAATAGATTTATATAATTTATATTTTCACGATTTTAACATTTGTTCTAATTGGAGATATAAAGGGTTGAAATTATGCAGTGGGTAATGTGAAAGTCAAAACATTACATGATTACAACTAAGAGCACTAGCAATGGTGAGTGTTTTTTTTTGCTCATGAGAATTTTTTGTGAGTAAAAAAATGATCATGAGCTACAATGGTGAGCAAAAGTTAAAATGGGAAAAAAAGCCCATGAGCATTTCCAAAAAAGCTCAAAACTTGATGAGGTCCACAGCTGGCTGGCAAACAAAAAAAAAACGGACTCCAAGCATCAAAACGACGCGTTTTGATGAGGTCCCTCAAAGGCGCGCCTATCAAAACGCGTCGTTTTGATGAATCATATTTTAAAAAAAAAAAGCTGGTTTCTGAAGCGTGCAGCGAGGGGGAGCAATGAAGACGCGACACGTGGCGGGTGCAGGCAGCCAGCCAATCAGAAAATACTAGCCGTTTTACAACAGTTATTTATTTATAATGCATTTTCAGAAAAATATATTTTGTAAAAAAAAAATAAAATTACCAACGGTCATAAAATTAAATTCTCTATAAATAGACATGCATTTTGATATATTTTGATATAATTTCGTAAACACTTTAAAATCCTCCAAATTTTAATTTTCTTAAAAGTTTAAATTTGTAGAAGAAATTGTTGTTGCAATTCAGCCATATTGAGGTAAAAAAAAATTTATTTAATTTTTAAAATCAGTTATATAATATAAGTAGTATATATGTGATTTTTTTTTTAAAAAAAAAAATTGTAGGCCATGTAATTATATTGCAATATGTAATTAAACAAAGTTGTGTATATTTTGTCCATAAATTTCTAAATTTGTAGTTATTAAAGTGTTGCAATTATTGGTTAATTTTTTTTGCTATATATAAATGTAGTTACGTAATAAAATTAGTATATATGTGATTTTATGGAAAAAAAAAATTATAGGCCACGAAATTATATTGCATTATGTAATTAAACAAAGTTGTGTATATTTTCTCAAGAAATTTCTAAATTCATAGTTCTTAAAGTGTTGCAAGTATTGGTTAATTATTTTTTTTAATATGTACATGTAGTTATGTGTTAAAATTAGTATATATGTTATTTTGTGAGGAAAAAAAAAAATATTGTATGGCATGTAATGTAATTGCATTATGCAATTAAAGAAAGTTGTTGATATTTTTTTGGATTTGTTATCATTTTAATTTGTTTTTTGAGTAAATGTTTGTAACGATATTTATCTTTTGTTTTTTGATGCAGAATCTTTTAATGGATCCAAACAACCCAAATTTCCGTCAACAATTTTCGGGTTTTAGTGATGATTTCCTAACTAATTCCGAGTTTCAATTGTTCTTGCAAAGAATGGGCAATATGTCGTCGCAACCACCTCCACTGCATCAGACACCCACTGAGGTTCCCCTACAAAACCCTGCTAATGAAGATCGTACACCTGAAACTGATCTTGGTAGTAACACACTCTTCGATGAGAGCGAAGAGGAAAGCGTACCAGAGACGCCGCAGTATCCTCCTCCACCAGTTCGCTTGTTGGAACCCAACCAGGTTCCTGCACGAGCTACCCGTATTTGGTCTTTTGCGGAAGATGAAGCTCTGATTGGGTTGTACTTGCAGATTAGCGAGGATGCTATTAAAAGTACAAGCCAAAAAGCAACTAGCCTATGGCGCAATGTACACGCAGCATATCAAACTTTGCATACGCAGAAGCCGCATATAATTCCGCCAAGGCTTATTAAGAGTCTGACGTCGCACTGGAGAAGGTTGGCAGCGGACACACTGCAATGGATATCTTGCTATGATGAAGCAGGAAGACTTCTGGAGGGAGGGAGTGGTTACAATGAAGCTGATCGTATGAAAAGTGCGGCGAAGCTTTTTCATGTCGCCCAAGGTCGCAATTTCACTTTTCCTCACGCAATTGAAATGCTTAACAAGGATCCAAAGTGGAGACCAAAGCTGAGATGGTCAATGTCCTTGAAGGAAAGAAAAGTCGCTTGTGATGCTGAGGAAGAAGGTAGTGCTGGAAGTGGGAAGAGGTTCAGAGATGATGTAGAGGATGATACCCCTACGGATGGTTTTTCATCTGGCGGTTTACAGCGACCCGAGGGTGTCAAGAAGGCGAAGGCGAAGCGTAAAGGGAAAGCAGTAGCAACAGAAAGTGGTTCGTCTGAGCTTAGCGAACGAATGAAGGAATTCGCTACAATTCGCGAGAGGGAGGCCATTCTGAAGGAAGAGAGGATAAAAATTGAAAAAGACAAGGAACAGAGGAAAAGGGAGGAACTTGACATTCATAAGATGAAAACCTGGTTTGATATGGTGCAAGCTCTGAAGAATTCGCCTACGCCACTCACTCCTGAAGAAGAGTCGTACAAGAATTTTTTACTGGGTAAATTACAAGACCTTTAAGCATGTTTGGTTGTAGTGTTTTATTTATTAAGCGCAATTTAGTCTTTTATTTTTAAGTTGTATTAGTGGTGTGGTTAATCTCAATGTAAGATGTACACTTGTATTCTGATTTTCCAATATTGAATGACAAGTTGTTTAACAAGTTGATTTAAGTTGCCATTCATACCGACATAATTGCTTTAAATCTTTGTCATTGTGTAGTCACAGTTTTCTGATTTCACTTTATCAGAATGCTTTAACCTTGTGTCATTGATACCGACATAATTACAATAAATCTTTGTCATTGTATAGCCACGTTTTCCTATATTCACTTTATCAGAATGCTTTACCTTTGTGTCATTAATACCGACATTATTGCACTCAAGGCTTGTCACTGTCAACTAGCATAGTATACCTATTCCGTGGTTGAAAATTTGATTCATGTACTTGGTGTGGTCATTCAGATTTGTAACCACATATTCATTTGATATTTTTGCTATATATAGTAGGCATGGCACATATCCACAACCACACCCCTTCATCAAGTAACAATATTAATACGAGATGTATTCTAGACCATCATCAAGCTCAAGTTCAAGCTCATCTTCTTCAAATACTGAAGAATATGACCAACTTGTTGATGAACTCTTCACATACCAACCCCCATCTATCCTCATGCCCCAAACACAATCCCAACACTCTTCAAAAAAACCTAGAGGGGGTACGAATAGAAGAGATAGGGAAATTGGACATGCCAGGTTGTTTAATGATTACTTTTCCGATAATCCTGTGTACAACACCACCCAATTTAGAAGAAGATTTCGTATGCAACGACCTTTGTTTGTACGTATAATGAACAAGGTCGTTGAAGGTGATGTGTACTTCCAGCAGCGTAGGGATGCAGCTGGAAGGCTAGGTTAATCACCTCTGCAAAAATGTACAGCGGCGATAAGAATGTTAGGCTACGACATGGCTGCGGACGCCGTGGATGAATACGTTCGGATCAGTGAGTCAACCGCTCGAGTTGCCCTTCAACGTTTTTGTACCGGTGTCATTGAGCAGTTCAGAACCGAGTACATGCGAAACCCTACAACTGATGAATTGGCTAGAATACTGCATCAAAATGAACTGCGTGGTTTTCCAGGCATGATAGGCAGCATTGATTGCATGCATTGGGAATGGAAGAACTGTCCAACGGCATGGAAAGCGCAGTACGCCGGTAGGAACAAGAAAGCAACGCTAATACTGGAAGCCGTTGCAGATCAGGATTTATGGATATGACATTCCTTCTTTGGGATTCCTGGATCTTTTAATGACCTAAATGTCTTATACCGTTCCCCAGTGTTCGATGAGGTTCTGCATGGTCGAGCTCCTCCGGTAAATTTTACCGTTAACGGCCATGAATACAACATGGCATATTACTTAGCCGACGGTATTTATCCGAAGTGGGCAACTTTTGTTCAGGGTATCACAACCCCTCAACTTCAAAAAGATAAATTGTTCGCTGACCACCAGGCTGCTGCTCGAAAGGACATTGAAAGAGCATTCGGTGTTTTGCAAGCTCGATTTGCAATAATACGAAAACCGTCACTGGCGTACGATGAGGACATACTGCGAGACATAATGAAAGCATGTATCATTATGCACAACATGATTGTTGAAGATGAGCGCCACAACTACACTCGAGCCGAAGTTCTAAGAGCCTTCTACGAAGAAGATCAACAAGAATCAACACCAGCATCAACATCTACAACACCACCGTTTGAATTCAACGTAGGTCGACCTACCAACTTTGACTTCAACGCATTTCTACAGCGAAAAGCTTCCCTCCGTAACAGAGAAATTCATCTATCTCTGAAACGTGATTTAGTCGAACATATTTGGCAACGATACGGGCCACGTAATTAGGGAGAAATTAGACGACTTAAATAAAGCCAAGTACTATGGCGTAGCTACTTTTCCGTACGCAGTCGAGTTATTTTTTAGTTATTGTGTTTATTTTATTTCCTAAGTTTAATTACGCATGACGTTGCAAATGTAATTGTTCTCTAGTATTGTACCGCTTTTAAAATAAATAAAAACATTTAACAAATTATGAGCTTTTTTTTACAATTTTTTTATATAACGTACTTAATTTTACGACAAATTTTAACGATAAAAAAGACAAAAATAAAAAAAAAATAAGTTACACAAATTTAAACTAGTTTTTATTTATTTGGAGTAACATTGTTAAAATATAAATGAAATAAATAAATAAAGAAGTGTTGTGTAGGAGAGAGAAAATAATGGTGGGGTATTGAAAAAGTAAGAGAGAGAGAGTGGTGGGTGGGCATTTTTTTTGCTCACCATTGGGAGAGAAAATGTGAAAAAAATTTGCCCATGAGCAAAATTGATTTGTTGAGAGAGAAAGTGGGTAGAGAGAGAGTGGGTGAGCATTTTTTTTGCTCACCATTGAGAGTGGTCTAAGAAAGAACTACATAGTACATAAATATTTTTTTTTCTCTCTCTAGTCACTCTCTTATACTTTATTCGCATTTTTTATATACTCGTGATATTAACATTCACATTTTAGTTGTTCTAATTTGTTTGCAGAAAGCAAATGCTAAAAAAAATCAAATAAGAAAGTAAATACATCTGTTGAATTGGGAAAAAATAACAAAATTCAAGTATTTGTATATTAGTAGCACTTGAAAAAATAATGAATATTATCACTCATACGAACATCAAACATTTATTACGTGGAGAAAATTCATACTAATGTGTAAATAATGATATTTAATTGTCAAACGTGCATCAAAGAGCATGATAAACCATGAATACTATTGAGGTCCTTAAGCCTACCTCAGCTAGACCTGGCAAATGGGTCATAGGGTCGGGTATGGGTTGGGTCATTTCGGGTCCGGTTAAGTTCGGGTCGGGTCGGGTCATTTCGGGTTGATTTCGGGTCGGGTATCGGGTCAACACTTCAGTCGAGTTCGGGTCGGGTCGAGTTTGGGTCGGGTCAATTTTTGGGTACAAATTTCGGGTCAACTTCGGGTCGGATCATATTCGGGTCGATGCATTGGGTTAAATTCAACTCTGTATATATATTCGGGTCGAGGCATGCCAGTGCAGGAAATTGATCAATAATAGACTTCCTATTATGATTATCAGTAATTTACATTATAGAATTTTACCAATTGAATATTCTTAAAATATTTATTGTGGTGGCGATTTCAACAAGTACACACAATGACACAAGAGTGACAAGACTATATTTTTTCTATTAAAGACTTAAAGAGTAGTAGCGTGGATGGACGCCAAGTACACTTACCCGCGCTGTGAACTTTTCTTAACCGATTCGATCAGATATATGTTATGACATGCTTCGTTTGAAATTAAATTTCCTGCTAAATTGCAAATTAGGAGTCCAATCTCTCTCTTTTGTCTTCACTATTCTCTAATCTCTACACACTTCATCTCATTTTCCATTGAAGCGTTTTTTACTCAAGTGGCCTAGAAGATTTTGTATTCCCAGAATCTCAAAATATGTAAAATACTTACACTGTTACACATTACAAATTAATAAAAAAAAATTAAGTCAGTTTGATTGCGGTTATTTTCTGTTTCGGTTTGCTTAGGTCAAATCGTTAGTTTAAATAGATTCTGGTCATTTCAGATATAAGGTAATTTTAGTTCGGGTCACTTTGGGTTTCGAGTCTATTTGGGTCAATTAATTCAAGTTAAAGGTCGGGTCACTTTGGGTATCGGGTCAACTTCGGGTCGGGACAACTTCGGTCTCGGGTCACTTCGGGTCTCGGGTCAACTTCGGGTCGGGTCGGTTCGTTTCGTTTCGGTTCGGGTCATTTCGGGTTTTGGGTCAAGGTCGGGTCAATTCCACTTCGGGTCGGGTTGATTTCGGGTTTTGGGTCAATTTTGGGTCACTGTTTTCGCGTCAATTTCGGGTCATGGACCGGGTCATTCGGATCTGGGTCAGGATTGCCAGTTCTAACCTCAGCCCAAGGCACTCTCTAGGCCTTAGAGCTTATCAAGGCCACATATATTTACTTGTCCAAATTCTTCTCATTGGTAATTATCTCACATTTATTATACATGCATTCCTAATCTAGCAACAAGTGTTCAAGAACCAATGTATGTGCTTATTTGCAAGTAAATTGATTGTGATGAAATAGAACTATAGAAGAAAGGGGAATAGTGGATTTTCTTACAAAGATTATACCAATACATGCAATAATACTCCATAGTATGTGTAGATATGACAAAGCATAATCAGTCAAGTGCATATAAATTACATTACTTACATGAAACATGTAATCCTTCATTAACTGTAGCTGAGGTGTTACACCCACCTTACCTATGAATGACATTATATTACATACTATGGAGTAATTATTTTTAACAAATTCAAATCTTATTGAATCGGATCAGAAACATTTAGAAAATTTTCTTATTTGTTTTGCATATTTGCCAACTATTTGAAATCATTTACTAATTCAAATTGTAGAAAATACACAATAAAACAAATTAAATAATACCTCATTAATGATTTTTTATACGAAGTATGTATCAACATATAATTACATTCAAAGTTAATTAATACCAAGAGATAAATCAAACCATACATGGAGTGATTCAAAACTAGGCTAAAACAAACACAACATAAATCAGTCCAAAATACCTTATTTCGGATGAAGAGAATATGGGTTAAGTTATTGCACTAACTCCAAAAATCAAAATGTGCTCACTACATAGAGACAGCGAAAAAACATTGAGACTTAGTATTTGCTCTCACATCAAATAAAATCTTGAGTACTAGGATTCTAGGAAGCATTATTATTATTCATAGGCAAAGTACTCCGTACCATCTTCAATTCTTCATAGTAGTCAATGGACTTGGCAATGCTGACCCAGACCCGATGACCCGACCCATGATCCGAAATTGACCCAAAAAATTGATTCGAAAATGACTTGAAACTCGAAATTGACCCGACCCGACCCAAAAATGGAGTTGACCCGAAGTTGACCCGGTCCGAAATTGACCCGGAGTGTTTGACCCGAACAGACCCGATACCCGAAATTGACCCGAACAGACCTGATACTTGAAATGTCCCGAACTAAAATTACCTTATAATTGAACTTAAAATGTCTTGTACCAAAAGTAACTCAAATTGTTCATCTTCAACCATAGCTAAGCTCATAAACTGAATTGATAGTTTTTATTATAACAATAACAAAATATATACTCCGTATAAAATTATTCATTTGAGCTTGATACACAAATGAAACAACCCGAATATGACCCGACCAGATTTTGACCTGACCCGAATATGACCCAAACATACTTGACCCGAAATTGACCTGACCCGAACATACCCGACCCGAACTCGACCCGATACCTAACCCAAAGTTGACCCGAAACCCGAATCGACCCGACCTATACCCGACCCAAATGTTAGTTGACCCGAAATGACCCGACCTGAAAGTGATCCGACCCAAATCCAACCCGAATGACCCATTTGCCAGGTCTAGTAGCCAATGGGTAACCCTTTTTATACATGAAAAGATCATAAGTCGCAATCTTCGTTTGTTTCACATGAAACGGCACCTTTGACTTGCATCACTAGCATAAACAAACTTAGAAGAATAAAATGACATTTACAAAATTAATTATTTTACATAGTCCATAGTAGGATTCATAGAATATACGAAGTAATATCTCCAAAAATCTAAAATACTTAGTATAACTGTATAAGCCTATAATACCCTCATGACTCAAGTTAGTATTGAAAAAAAATTGGGATCATCAATGAGAATAGTATAAAACTATAGTACAATAAACTTAGTAAGTTTAAACTGAGAATATTAGAGGGGCCGAGATTTGAATCTTTTACCTCTCGCTCAAAACTAATCATCTAAAACTAATAACACCATTACTACATTGTACATTGCATAAACAAGATGCTAACAAATTAGTACTCGGTCAGACAGAAGAAAAGAATCGTAGAGTTATGCAAAGGGCATACACGATCCGCCAAGTCTCAGACAGAGGAACAGTTTACTTGCAGAATATTCTGTGATACGGAGTAGATGATATGTTACTGTCAGGAAATCAACAGTATACGGATTCCTTGTACTTTCGCAACCTTAAACTGTTGACTTGGCGATATAGTGAATATTCATTGAGCTGAGATCATACATTAACAAACAGCTTACATGATTGAGACAGACTGAGAAACAGCTGATACAAAAAAAAAGTACAGCAACATAATCGTTTAGTATTACTGACCGCGTCAATCTAAGACAGTATGTTTCAGTATATAAGTATCGTAGGATGAAGCCTTTTATCTGCAAGTTCACAAATATTTTCAGTGCAATAGAAGAGAATAAGTGACGGATAATTTTAAACACAATAGTAGCATACTAGTAGAATAAAGAAAATGAGTGATCTGATGCCAGCCTCGAATAATGTGGATGAGATCGAAACAAAGAAATTTGCTCTTCCAGTGATGCAGAGAACAAGGCCATAGTCTTCCCACTCGTATCTGTGGCAAAGCCTCATATGCGGGCATTTCATTTATGCTGGATACAATTCTTCTCCTGCTTCCTGTCAACTTTTGCTGCCCCGCCTCTGCTTCCTATCATTCGTGATAACCTCAATCTCACACAAAATGACATTGGTAATGCAGGAGTAGGTTCAGTTTCAGGAGAATATTTGCCCGCGTTCTCATGGGTACTGCCTGTGACTTGTTTGGGCCACGGCTTGCTTCTACAACCCTAACCCTCCTCACTGCACCAGCAGTTTACCTGTCTGCTGTGGCAGACTCTGCACCGGCTTCTTTTGCTATGCGATTTTTCACAGGCTTTGCTTTAGCTACTTTTGTCTCAACCCAATACTGGATGAGCTCCATGTTCTATCCAACAGTAGTTGGCCTAGCCAATGGGCAGTCAGCCGGATGGGGCAACCTTGGGGAAGGGGTTGCCCAGCTGGTTATGCCACTAGTCTATACTGCTATCCTTAAGACAGGAGCCACAAATTTTGTAGCCTGGAGGATACCATTCTTCATACCTGCCCTCTTTCAGATGTCTTCAGCATTCGCTGTAATGCTTCTCGGACAAGATCTGCCTGATGGAAATTTCCACCAGCTGCAGAAAGTCTGGTAACATGCATAAGGATAATGCGAAAAAGGTTTTATATCATGGAATCACCAATTACAGGAGATGGATCACTGCTCTAGGATATGGGTTCTGTTTTGGGTAGAACTAGCTGTAAACAAGATAGTTGCTTACTACTTCTTTGACCGATTTAATCTTAACCTTAACCTTTCGGGAATTGTTGCTGCCACTTTTGGGATGGTTAATCTTTTCTCCAGACCTATAGGTGGAGGCTTGTCAGATTTCACGGCGAAAAAGTATGGAATGAGGGGAAGACTGGAGCTGGTGGATAGTCCAAACAATAAGTGGTGTACAGTGCATTGCTTTGGGACTGATTGACACTTTAGCTGCATCTATTGCAGTGATGACTATCTTCTCTTTATTTGTTCAAGCAGCCGAAGGACTTACGTTTGGGGTCGTTCCTTTTGTCTCTAGAAGGTAAATACATCGTTTACGTTCCTTTCACTTTAACCTGCAATTGCATTTACCAAATTCAGCCATGCAAAACCTCGTTAAAGATAACATTGTAGTCTGTACAACTGTACAAGTATATTAGAATGCAAGGTAAAACAAAAATAGTACAACATACAACTATTTCATTAGAGTAAATTAGAAATTTTGAATCAGCACATAAATTGGTTTTGATGGTAGGTTTACCCTTCAAATTTACATCAGATCATTTTATAAGGATTAATTAGAAATTCAGAGTGATTCAAAAACTATTGGAAATTCTTACAATCTTAGAAATACATACAATCTTAGAATTTATTCAAAAAAAAAAAAACATACAATCTTAGAAAACCATAAACTTGTCAGATGGTTGTCAAGCTTACTGCTTACATCAATATCTATTGTATGTTCCTAACTACTCTACGTCACTCATCAGATCTTTGGGGGTGGTTTCGGGCATGACTGGTGCTGGCGGAAATGTGGGTGCAGTCCTTACTCAAGTGATCTTATTCAGAGGATCTCAATTCACAACAGAAGGAGGAATAACATACATGGGTGTTATGATCATAGCATGCTCCCTCGGCATAGTTTCCATATACTTCCCACAATGGGGGGGTGTTTTTTGTGGTCCTAAAGCAAACTTTACAGAAGAAGACTTCTACCTGAGGGAATGGGATGCAGAGGAACAGAAGAGAGACCTTCATAATGTGAGCATGAAATTCGCAGGGAGCTGTAGGAATGAGCGAAGTACAAAAGGAAAGTCTGTAACCAAAGAAGCTGAAATGAGCGCACCAGCTGGTGTTTAACAGCCACCTTTACTTATCAAAATTTGACATCTTGAATCACATCTTTGGATTCAGATATCTACTTTATTACAATCTACATGTCAACTGCATATGTAAAATCTCTATGTTTGGCTATACTGTAAAACATGTTCACAGTATCTTCCTCCAATCCCAACCCCCCATATTTTCCTGCTTTTATACTCGTCAAAGTCCAAAATATGTGTAATGTGTGAAAATATATCCAGTTGTTGTTTTTAGTTCCAACTTTCATCTCTGAATTCACAGTTACCGCCCGCCCGCCAACCCCCCCCCCCTCCCACCCCTAAAAAAAAAAAAAAAAAAAAAAAAAAAAAGGAAGAAGTTGAGGTATTTTTTCTTAGACGACTTTGGATGTGAGATTAAAATCAACTCATTCACACATACATGGAAATCTGAACTAATACGTTTGTAAAAGCATACCATTAAACAAACAATGAGAACAAAGTTTATCTATGTACAATGATATAAATCAAATATTGCAGCAAAACTTACTAAGGATACTAAACATGGTGGCGCAATGTTCAATCCTTAACTTATATTAGTTATCGACTTGAAAAAAGTTTAAAACAAACAATCACTATTTGGTACTCCGCATGTAACATGACATATCAACATTTTTCGTAAGAAAATAACTCTCAAAATACCCTCTATTATTCCATGTAATCTCCTTTCGCCTAAAATTATGAAAAAATGTCATTATTATATGCACTATTCACATATACGGAGTAGTTATTTCTATGCCATCTCTTCCAACAACAGATTTACATCAAATTCATAACGAAATTTCAGCTCGATATACTCTCGTCCCATGAATACCATCTTCTCTATGACTTCTAATCCCAATGCCTAAACCAGTAAAACCACCACAATTCAATGTTCCCGCCAAAACCGTCCATCATCAAACATTTCACCAACTCATCTTCTTCTTTCTCTTCTCTCTCCCAAAACTCACCTCCATCCCTCTCTCTCCTAGCAGACAGATGCACCTCAATGCATCAACTCAAACAAGTCCACGCTCAGATGATCACCTCGGCTCGCATTCACGACACCTACGCTGCCAGCCGGTTGCTCTCCTTCTGTGCCGTATCGAATTCTGGTGACATCAATTATGCTGTAAAGCTATTTAATTACACCCAAGAACCCAATAATTTTATGTACAATACCATTATCAGAGCTCAAGCTACTACTGGAAATCCCTCAAATGCTCTGTTATTGTATGTTCAGATGAGAAGGATGAAAGTTTTGCCGGGAAAACATACGTTTCCTTTTCTTTTGAAGGCGTGTTCGAATATGAAATCGATTAATGGGTGTAAACAGGTTCATTCCCATGTAATTAAACTTGGGTTGGATTTGGAATTGCATGCTGTTAATGGGTTGGTGAGGGGGTATAGTGTTTCAGGAAGTTTGAGCGATGCACGCCAAGTGTTTGATGAAATTTCTGAGAGAAATTTGAGTATTTGGACTAGTATGATTTGTGGGTATGCGCAGAATGATAACTCAGATGAGGCTTTGGTGTTGTTTAATCAAATGGTTGATCATGGGCTTGAGCCGAATGGAGCGACTTTGGCTTCGGTGTTATCGGCCTGTGCTCGAGAAGGGTGCTTGATGATAGGGGAGAAGATTGAGATGTTTATGATTGAAAAAGGTGTTGAATTGGGGGTGATTCTTGGGACTGCATTGGTTCACATGTATGCAAAGAATGGTGCTTTGGGTAAGGCAAGAGAAGTATTTGACAGTATGCAAGAGAAGAATGTTGCAACTTGGAATGCTATGATTCATGGGTTGGCTGTTCATGGGTATGCTGAAGCAGCACTAAGGCTTTTCCGAAAGCTTGAAATCGAGGGAATCGTGCCTAATGACATTACATTTGTGGCAGTTTTATCTGCTTGCTGCCATGGGGGCTTCCTTGAAGAAGGTCGCCAGTTTTTTCGTATGATGAAACAAGATTACAATATTGAGCCGAAACTAGAGCACTTTAGCTGTATGGTTGATCTTCTTGGTCGAGAAGGGAAGTTGATTGAGGCAGAGCAATTGATACGAGATATGATATGGAAAGCAGATCTGATTATTTGGGGAGCTTTGTTGAGTGCTTGTAAGAAATGTGGGAATATTGCTGTTGCTGAAAGAGTAGTAAATGAGATTTTAGCTTTGGATCCTCATAATCACGGAGTTCGTGTTATTTTGTCGAATATGTATGCAGAGGCTGGTAGGTGGGAAGATGTATCGAGTCAAAGAAAGGTAATGAAGGAAGGAAACTTGAAGAAAGTACCTGGTTGGAGTTCAGTTGATGATGGTGGTTAATGTTCATCAGAATTGTACATTTTAAGTTAAAATATTCAAGGTCTTTAAACAAGTTTTTAATCATCCAGTGCATTTAAAACTTATCTTCACTGAGTAAAATGTTGTAATTACTACCAAAGATGTCACTTGTAGCACTTACAAAAGACTATCATGAAGAAAGGAGAAGGATATCTAGAGTTCTTGTATTTCTCAATTCTTATATTCTAAATTGATCAAACTCTCATAGCAAAACTAATCAATACCAGGTTTATAAATGCAGACTATCATTATCTCAGTAAACAGTACAGTTCAGATACATTGAATGTGTTCCCGGTACACAAGCATTGAAATCATAAATTACAGGCATTCAACCCCAGTAAAAATATACAGACATTTGCTGATCCATTATATTGTTATCAGAACAAAAGACAAATGCAGCTATTTTACATATTAACATAATTACATGTATTTTTTAATGCAGTAATCAAAACCGATCTGTGTGTGTTGTCTGAATATACAGTAAATATGGACCTATCATACAAATGTGTCCTTGGCACCATGTATGTACCTATATGGCAGAATCAAGAGACTACGTCAATATTCCACCTTTACAGCATACAAGGCGCTTACCTATAAGAATCCTTTAGTGGCAGCAATAACATGTAAATTACACCATGTAGTAGTGTAGTGTATCAGACTTAACCAAGACATGCAGCAGCTGTGCAATATGGCAATATGAATCTTCAATCTTCCCGCAGGCAACTCTCCAATTTCTTTGGTTTACCTGCTGAGACATGAGATTAGCACATCTTCATGGGCATGGTCACCAGTGCACATGTAATATGCCTAAGCGTGAATAAATTACATGGCAGAATCTACCAATCTAATTCGCTTTTTTTTTCACAAGGAAAAAATCCGATTACACTTAGGGGGGGTTAAACTTAAGTTGCATATGATTTGTATACTCTCTATATCTCATCCAATTGTCCCAGATTCTAACTTGTGGAACCCTTCCTTCTTAAGCAGATGATTTTTCTCCCTTACATAAGTAGTTAATAGGGTTCCATGATCAACTAACATGTACCAATCTACTTCACCGAGAGCTCATGGACAGAGTAAATTACTTGAAAAAAAATAAATTTGCAAGTGGTTCAGTATTGAATGTCATTTTGACTCTAGCATTATTTGCAATGCATGATGTGAAAATAGATTAGCAATTAGATACCAAGTTACTACTTTTCCGAAAAGAATAAAAAAAAAAAGGATACCAAGTTACTAACCGTGTGAAAGAAACTAGTAGAAACTGATTACTGGATATTTGTCCATTTGTCCTTCCCAAAAATCTAAGCCTTATGCAAGGTGTTCATTGGCATTGCCTGTTTCATAAGAGAGTTATATTCTCGACTTCTTGACCACTCATCAATCTCACGAGCACGTAGCACAGGAAGAGGGTGTGACAATTGCCTTGTTTGAGCATTACTGTAAGGACATAAAGGGGTTGTTAATCCTTTTGGAATCCTAACTAAAAAAGTTGGTGACTGTGCACGACTTATTATACTAAGCTGGTACCTTACCTTATATACCACCCCATTGGACTTGAAGAAGCTTTATCATAAGAGCGAGCTTGCTCCAAAAATGCATCCACATTTAGTTGATCCACCAAGGAAGGGCAGCCCCCAGACAACTTCATCAGGACGGATACGACAATCTCTTGTAATACCACCAAAAATATTAAAGAGATCCAACAGAAGGCGAGGGAAGAATGCAGATTAGTTTAGTAATATATTACAATCACCAATATTGGGAAACCAAGAAAAAAAAAGGAGGATAAAAAAAAAATACTTGTATAACACATGCTGAAAGAGATCACATAACTCACATCACCATACCTTGGGATCTTGAGCAACAAGAAGGGCTGCACGATCACAGGTCAGCTCTGCTGCTCGGAGCCAACGGGTTAACTGTTCCTCTATGCTACTAGCAATAAATCCACCAACTCCTACAGATGGAACAAGAGGTTTATTCTTGTATTATGGTAGCAATTTTCACACTGAAACCTTAGCACTTTCTAGATGAGGAAAATGCGAAAATCAGACAAGATTTCTGCAAACCAAAGTTTTCTCTAGTGGTATAAATTTAAAATTAACCTTAAGTGTTGATTTTTTGCAATTTACAGAGCAACCAAGTTTATATTATAGTTAAAGACTTAAAACAGCTATAGTTCTATGCAAATATGATATATATATATCAGATGCTATTTCCTTTAGAAACTTAAGTCCTAGCAGCAAGCTAAAATTAATCAATCTCCGGAAGTGATTATTCACGCAAAACAATCGAGATGTTGAGAACCTTATCTCTGGGATTCTTACAAGTCATTTACCATTACAGGCCACCAGGATTCTTACAAGTCCATTGTCCAACCATTCGAAGACACTGGAAAATGTTACTACTCCAACTAATAGCGGTAATCAAACCACATAAGACCAAAAGTTTATGAAATATTATACATGTAAGATTCTGACTAGCTCAAACGAGCCACCCTACAATGATATCAATCTTAATTATCTAAAAAAATTATTTAAATTATCTTTAGTATACCTATGCAACCACTACAACTCTAGTAGAATGCACATTAAGCTTACCAGGTATGACGTATGCTCCAAGAGAGAGGATATTTGCATATGTCAGCCACAGTCCATGGTCACATTTCAGATGACCCAACTCATGGGCCATGACAGCCTATTGACATTAACATTAAAAAAAAAAAGTCAGGAAAGATAGTTGCAAAATGCATCTGAATCATGGCTCAATGCTTGATAAAAACTGTATACATTTACAGCAATATGGGAAGAAATGATGCAGGAAAAGCAAGGAAAAGAAGCCAACATCAATACCTGCAACTCTTTTCGTGATAAAAGTTCAATAAGACTTGTGTGGACAACTACAAATGGCCTTTTACCGCTGATGGCTAAGGTATATGCGTTCGGTGTAGGACTCTGGCGAACATACAAATCAGGAGGCTCAACATTCAATATTTCAGCAGCCTCAAGCATCAACTGGTGCAGTTCAGGAAGCTGAAACACAAGCATAGCATGTCACAGTCTAATATAAGCTAAAATCTAATTGTTTGAGGCAACACAAGCTTCAGCAATCACAAAAAAGGTTTAAGCATTTTGCTTTAGCAAGGTTTCAAAAATTTGACCGAGTCTTGACACCTTAACAAATGGCCGTATCCAGCACTCAACTAAGAGTAACATAGTTGTGTAGCTTTGAGAAATAATCAAACATTATGGTTGGTGCTGAACTTTCACAATGCATATCATCTAAAACAGATTTTACATACGATATATGTCTCCATCTCAGCCGGAAATTTCAAGGTACTAAACATGTGACTCGTGTCAAATGAACAAGAATGTACTCGTATAATGGATGCAGCAAGTGTAAATTATAGTCTTACAGAAATGATAAAATTCACAACATGAACCGAATTCGACTCCAATTTCGTCAAGTTATTAATATTACCTGGTTTTTGGAAACAAGCAATGAAGTACCTATGTTCTCAAGAAACATAACCTGCTCCGCAATTGATCCTGGCATTATAAAAACAAACATATAAACATATCAAGTCAAATACATGAAAAAAAGTACTAATTTCATAAGAGTAGTCAAAATTATTAAATTGATTGACCAAAATTAGTAGGAAAAAGTATACCTAATAAAGCTTTGCCAATTGCATCTAATCCAGGAATTGCTCTCAAAATCACAGTGTTCTAATTTCACAATCAACCAAACAAAAATTAAGAAAATTAATAATATATAATTGAAGCTAAATACAAGTAATAGAGATAGAAAGTTACTCGTTGATCAAGAGGATGTCTGAAATCATCGGCATTAAGATTGCGAAAAACAACATTCGAAGAAGAAGAAGAAGAAGTAGCAGATGCAGAAACAGAAACATGAACCCTAGTGTTTCCAATAATTGGCGGGGATCGAAAATTGGAGAAATTAGGGGTTGATTTGGGGGGAAAACAACGGATGGAAGGATGAGAAGAGATTGATAGTGAGGAGAGAGAAAAAGAAACCGCCATTTTTAGTATGTTTTTTGCAGAAAATCAAAAAGCAGAAATTATAAGAACTGAGTTTTGTTGGCGGGTTAACTCAGTTCTTCACCCCATGAATCATGAATGAGTGTGAGAGAATTGAACAGATTTATGGTTATGCTTTACCGCCACTTCGTTTTCTGTTTAGACTTATTAGAGGGTTTATTTGTATTTTTTTTTTGTTTTCTAAATGTTAATTTGCTCGAGTTGGCTTTTAAGTTCACATTGTTTAAAATGGATATCTAATCGGGTTTGTTAAGGTTCCTATGTTTCGGATAGATCGGAAATTTTATGATATTCGAAACCTAATTTGTATTGTAGTTGAAAGATGTTTTAAGTCAATCAAGAAGTAGTTGAGAATGGGGTGTTAAATATCACCATAAAAAAATGATCAAAACCATTAACATTTAGTGTGAATGGACAATCATGCACTCACCGCTATCTTCCCTCTTGCCACCATTCACTAACACCTTAGCACCACCACCCTGACTAGCGACGACCACCACACTAACCGGTGACCCACCACATCTCCCTCAATGATGACCCACCACCTTCCCTCCCTCGCCAACGGGAAAGTAGTGGTTTTTTTTATTTCCGACAACCGCAACAACCGAAAACCAAAACGATTGCCGGAGCTGGAAACCAATTATTGGGCATGGTAACCGTTTTTGGGCTCCAGTCACCGCGGTTGCCGAAAATTTAAAAAACAAAAAAAAAAAAAAACAACCACCCTCCCGTCGGCGAGGGAAGGTGGTGGGTCGCCAGTTAGGGTGGTGGCAGTCATTGCCGGTCAGAAGTGGTGGTGGTCATTGCCGGTCAGAAAGAGGTGGTGGGTCGCCATGGAGGATAAGGGGTGGTGAAGTAATAAGGGCATGGTTGTCCATTCACACCAAATGTTGGCGGTGTGATCATTTTATATGGCGGTGTTTAGCAACCTACTTGATATACCATATCAATTGGCTATCATAAGCTTACAATTGTAATTTTAGTTTTTACAAAGTGGGATTGTATAATTGGATATAAGGTGGATATCGTGTTTACTTATAAAACAAAGTTAAGGTGAATTAAAGATAAGGGTATATTCTATCTATCTGATTTTTTACTTATCTAAATTTATTTTAATTTATCTGAATCTATTAAAACTTTTTTTAATTGTAATTTGAATATAGACAAATCTTATCATAACTTTTTTTCATGAACTTATGAGAGTTGAAATAAGTAAAAATAAAATGAATTGAACTATACATGACCTAAATATATAATGAATTTCATGTAGTGAGTTTAAGGTATACCTTTGAGGATTGCCTTACCAAATCAATTCAAACAAAGTGTAGCTTGGGAGGATTAGATTATATTGACATAAAATTCAAGACAAACTTCGCAAAAGGTAATATCGGATAAATTAGGTAGAACATAATGCTTGACTAGGGGAATAAGGGGACTCCCCAATTTATCTTTATGATTAACATAGGGATGTTTATCTAGTGTTGAAATTGTGTAAATTGATTAAAATAAAATTTTCTTTAGTTTGGTGCTTTTTAGCTTTCATGTCTATCAATTTATAAGGCTAACAGATGTTAACCAGCTGAAGCATCATCCTCCATTGAAGCTGACTTCACCTTCTTCCTCTATTGAAGTTGTCATCTCTTTTTTCCTCCATCTTCTTCTTCCTTTTCGCAATCTCCACCCCCTTCACCAACACCATCACCTCGGGCGTTTTTGCCGCCAAAATAAACGAAAATTCTATCGAAAAGGGTGAAATTAAGAGCATGGTCAACCTCAAAAGGTAGGGGGGACCATGTCTTTCATTGAAGCCTTGTTAAAATTGATTTTGTCCATTAAAGCTCTTTGTTACTTCGTCCTTCATTAACGGCGACCGATATTGACAACTACAGTAACGAAAGTTTCCGCTGTTAAATAAACCTGATAAATTACCATGCTGCCCAAACTTGTTTAATGTAATTTATTATTTTAACCCTAGATAAACGCTACATGTTTATCATGAACATAAACTTGTTTTCTCAAGAAATATCGTTACCGCGCTCATTCATGAACAAAATCCAATATCGTTACCGCGCTCGTTCATGAACAAAATCCAATATCGTTACCGCGCTCGTTCATAAACAAAATCCAATTTACAAAATAAAAACATAATCCCACCCAACTTAATAATTGAAACTATCGCCTCCACTAACTCTTTCCACAAATGTGTCCCATTTCATGTGATATGGGTCTCTCGTCTCTCAGTCTTATGTATAACTTGCCTAGGGATTTAAGAAACACTTCAAAAAAATTGTAAAAAAAAAAAATTTGTACAAAAAAAAAAAAAAAAAAAAAAAACCAATTCTTCTCAAAAATAAAAATGGTAAAAAGGATTTCAGAGTCAATCACATCACAGAAATGACACTAACACAGTGCTTGTATTCAAATTTATAAACGGTTATTTTCCTCTTATAGAGTTCACCCTTCACAATTTCCCTCCTTTTAGAGATCCCTCTGCTTCGCTCTCCTCAATTTCCACTGTTCTTATACCTTCAATACTTCCAAAAAAAAAAAAAAAAAAAAAAAAAATGAGAGTAGCAAAGATAAAAAAAATGGGTGCTGATAATTCTTCTGTAAGATCATTTGCTACCCACCATGAATTTTTAATTTTCTCTCTCCTCTACTTCTGGGTTTTTTCTGGGTTGAAGATTATTCAACTACAGTATTTTTTTTTTCCTTTATTTGTTTGGATAAATTGAACTAGCAATATCTGTTTTACTTATTTTTATTTTAATTTTAGCAGAAAAAAGCATCAATGTCAAAGACGGAGTTGAAGGCTGCCTTAGTGGCGAAAAGACTTGCTATGCTTGAAGATGATCAACTTACTCCCCCGGTAAGTTTATGCGTCTCCGTATATTTTTAGACGGTAATAAAAATCCAAGTGTTTGTTCGATTCACCTGATTTTTTCTACTAGTCCGGAATCATATTTATGAATTAAATAGTGTTGTTGGTCACATATTATTAATTTTACACGATTAAAACTTATATTTATGGATTGAAAAGATATATTCTGAACATGAAATTTGTATGTTTAGGAATAATTTTTTTAAGATGAAGCGTTTTCTTAAATTTTTACCCTAGACTAGAACTGTACTTTTTCGTTTTTTTTTATTATTTTATACTCCGTATTTTATTACTATTTTTATTATCGAGTTTGATTATCAGAATGAATTTAATCAAAATCAAAATATATACTCGTCAACTTCCCACTATCACAGATTAACAGTATGCTATGCTATGCTATGCTAATGCTAGTATGCTACTAATCCTTATTCCTTAGCGGTGAGGGAGTGGATGATAGTGGGCCACATTTCCGCATTAAATACGAGTAAAGAACTACTAGAACTAGAGTGTTTTTGGAAAAACTGATAAAAATAATCTCAATTTTTGCCCGTTAAAATAATCTCAACTTTTAATTATTTAATAATCCGGTCTAAGTGACCCGTTACCTGTTAAAGAGGTAATTTTTTTTCTAAAGGTTTATTTGACACGTGTCAGCACTTTATAGGTTGAAAAAAAAATATTTAAAAAAAAACCGAAAAAATCCCATACCCAACACCCAGGCAACCCCACCGGCCACCACTACCGTTCCGGCAAACCACCTTCCTAAATCCCGGCCCAGGTTCCCCCGTCCTTACCCCTTGTCGGAATCGTTGTAATTGGGTGTCGAATCTCTGTAATTGGTGGTGAATTAGATGTTGCGGGGCTGCCGGGTTGCCGCAGCTTTGGTTGGGCCATTGCAATGGCTGGTGGTTGTTGTTGGGGTTGTGCGGCTGCTGCGATTTGAAGAGGGGTTGCAGGGCTGCTGTGTTGCTGCGCGCTGGTGGTTCAGGAGGCGAGATGGCTGATTTTTCATCGGCTGGGCGGCGATGGTGGTTGTTTGGTGGAGATGCGGGCTGCGTTGTTGGGTGTAGGTAGGGGGTTTTGGGGTGTTTAATTTGGTGGTTCAGGGGGTAAGGAAGGGGCGTCGCCGGCTCTGGTGCGGGGGAGTTGGTTCTGGGTGCCGGCGGGGATGGCGGTGACGGGAGGGGTTGTGGCTGGCGGCGAGGAGGGTGGTCGTGGATGGGGCTGGGTTTGTTTTTTATTTTTTTATTTTAAGTTTGTTTTTAAGTTTTTCTAAAAGAAAAGGCTTAAAAGAAAATAAAAAAAATAAAAAAAAAATCGACCAAGGTTGGGTAACCAGTTGGGACCATTTTGAGTAAATGACCCCCAAAGTTCGGATTATTAAAAAATAATCCAAAGTTGGGATTATTTTAAGCGAACGAGCAAAAGTTGGGATTTTTTTTACCAAATTTTCCAATGTTTTTTTTTATTATTTAATGACAATTAATGAACTAAAATGTCACTCAATGTGAATACCCATTCGTCTTTTTGAATGCATCACTTGTATTTTTATAATTTTAATTTTTTAATTTAATTATATATACAAGTCCTAAAATTGTATCTCAACATATATGTAATCCCAAGTGATGCATTTGCACCCATGTGACACATCAAATTTGCAAAGAAATCAAGGGATAACAATGTTGGAATTTTATTTTATTTTTATTTTATTTATTTATTTATTTATTTATTTTTAAGTTGTGCACATTTTTGTTTAAGAGAATTTGAAGAGTTGTAATAATAATTGTAAAAATGGAGCCTCTGTAATTAGATTGAAAATGACTATAGGAATTCCTTCTATATATATTTTTTTTATAAAGGTAAGAAAAATGAAAACATTAGGAAACCCTCCTCACGAGGGGAATTCCTAATGCATACGTTCTATATGGTGTTTAACTAGGATGCAACCGTATTAATATATGGAATACATCACGTACCCGTAAAGGAAAATGATGCGAGACAAATTTGCAAGTTATGTGAATTTTTTTTTTTTTCAAAAGACACAATGCATTGTTTTTTTTTTTTTTTTTTGTTTTTTTGAAAGAGGTTAGGTAGAAATGTAGAATTGCAAGGATTGAACTTTAAAGGGGTTTGAATATTTAGATAGATGTTAGTTCATAGTCATTATGGAGAAATCATTAATGAAGGGTTAAATTTTTTTATTTTACATATTTTTTTTGCAGGTATTATCTATAGTGAATTCAATACCATGTGAAAGGTATATGAAAAAAAAGCCAACTAATTTCATTTTCACATGATTTCAGTTAATTGCTTTAAAAACACTTTGGGATATTGGAAAACATTATTATTTGTGCATTTTTATACCTTAATAATTGGAATTAAAAAAATAAGTTAGAGAATTTATGTCTTAAAAAAAATGCTATTGATAGGAATATTCCGATGAACGTTTTGAATGTTTTTTAATCGGGAATATGGAAAAAACAAAAGAAAGTGAAGGGAGTATTTATTTTTGGCTAACATCAAATATAATTGAAAACCCTATGATAGAGTCATAGGAAATGGCGATCTTAAATTTCATAATTTTAAGATGGTATAATAATTATGCTTCCTCCACCTGATTTTACTTTCAACATTAGGATTTTGGCACTATTCCTAGATTTCCTACTTGTTTGGGGTAAAAATACCCTAAACACGTGGCCCAATGGCCTAGTGACACGTGGCATCCAGCCGTTGGTCAGCAGGGCTCCAATCCTCTGCTGACACGTGTCCTCTAAACCCTAAAAGGGAAACCATCTCTTCCCCACTATAAATAGTGGAAGGACCCTCATTAATGGGGGGCTGGAACATTTGTTGTTCACATTGAATACTCCTCAAAAAGAAAAACACTTACCCCGAGCAATATTAATTGCAGAATTCTCCCATTACGCGAGAAGTAACTTCTACATTACGTGCATTCTACCTCCCGTATCTTTACTAACTTGATCGTCGGAGGCGGAGCTCCTACCCCCGGGAGTCTTCGTGATTTTGCAGGCACAGGCGTCGAAGGGCATTCTTGGAATTGTAACTCTCCCGCAGGACACATCAAAAAACCCCGAAACATTTGGCGCCGTCTGTGGGGAGAGTACTTCTAAGATGACTTCTGATACTGTGTCACCGAATCAGGGCAAACGGCCTGTGGTCGAGCCTGAGGTCCAGACGGACCATGAAAGTGGAGACGAAATTGAAACATATGTGGCCCCGGATGGGTCTTTCAGAACGAAGCACCCTCGTGCTAAAGATAGAAGAGAACGGGAAATCAGCCAAGCTGCTCCCAGCAACCCAGCCGGGCAACCGGCTGGAATTGCCCAAACGGTGGAGGGCTCAGCCCCCGTTACAAGAAACGAACTCATGTCTTTCATGAATAGTTTCAAGGGTGAGATCAAGAGCCTCATCCGGTCAGCTACTCCAAAGAAAGGTCAGCCGGCCAAGAAGCCTTCTGGAAAGAAGGCGGTCAAAGAACGAGTTCCTACCCCTCATCCCAAGCCAAAGGAGGGGGAGGGCTTAAGGTTTGATCCAAGCAGACTCTGTTTTCCTCAAGGGGAGCTGCGAAAGGCCATCCGGCACGTACAGCCGGATGGCTCCAAGAAAACATTCTCAGACGCCCGCACATTTCTCCAAGAGAAGCGAGGTCAGGCGTCTGCGTCGGCCTCAACGTCGACCTTCCCGGACAGTTTCCATGACGTCTCACACAGGCGTACGGGAACGAACCTTGGGAGCCAGACGGGCGAAGCTTCTGCCCGGTCTGGACCCAAAGTGATCCAGCCTGGCCTATTCGGCACACCGAATGGGTTGGGTGGATCCCCTTTTATGTCACCGGGTCTTTTCGGTGGGCAAGCGCAGCAGCCGTTCCAACCCACGGACTGGCAGCTGCGCCTGCTAAATTTGGGGGAACAGCCAACGGCGTTCTCACCAGAGATAACCCAGGCGGCACAGCCGCCTAAGATCAAGAATGTTTTGGTGGGGGCCTATGACGGCACCACCAACCAGAAGACCATCTAATGGCCTACTCTAACCTCATGTACCTCCAGGGGTTAGATGATGCCGTCTGGTGTCGATGCTTCCCGGCTACCCTCAAGGGCATAGCCCAGCGGTGGTTTGGTAACCTACCAGCCGGTTGCATCAACAGCTTTCGAACTTTGGCGTACTTGTTTACGTCAAATTTCTCAATGAATATTCCTGCCAAAAAGACTAGCCTCGACCTAGGGGCAATACAGCAGGGCGACCGGGAGGGCCTCCGGTCATACGTCAGACGGTTCAATCTGATGAGAATTCAGATTCCAGGACTATCAGACGAAGTGGCCTATACAGACTTCTTTCGAGGTCTGAAGGATGGGTCGACCTTTAAGTTTGACCTCGTCCGGAAGAGGGTTGCTACCCTCCAAGAGGCGTTAATTGAAGCTGAAGCCTATATACAGGCGACGGAGCTTTGTGCTGTCAAGCAGCCGTCAGATTATAAAAAGTCTGACAAAAAAGAGAGCCGGCAACAGCATCAGCCGGCAAGAAAGGAAGAAAAGAGAAAAGGGGTCTGGGCAGCTGACCGATCAGGACAGCCGGCCCAGAAGATCAGGCGGAAGTCAGAATCGTATGCTCCCAAATACGAGTTCGCAAAAGATTGCTCCACCATCCTCCTGGAAATCAAAGACCGGATGTCTCTCGACAAACCGGCTGAAATGAAAAGCCCCGTGAATAAACGGGACAAGAGCAAGTATTGCCAATACCACGAGGATGTCGGCCACGACACCGATGGCTGCTATAGCCTCAGGCGGCTATTGGACCGTCTGGCAGATGAGGGGCCCTAAAATCCTACCTACCCAAGGCTAAGGGTAATACCCAGGCCAAGAAAGGGCAGGCGGCAAAAACCGGCCCAGCAAACTCCGAGACGGATGAAGAGACCATCTTCACAATAGCAGGCGGTTTTGCCGGAGGGGGTCCTACCATCCGGGGCACCA